GTTTTCGAGTTCATTCAATAAAGCTTTGCATGGAATCTATCTACGAGGAAATAAAGTCAGGAGACGACGGGTGCCTTCGTCGTTTGCTAGACTCCTGGGAACTAAAAACAAAGACGTTTTATGGAAACCTCTGCGATCAATTGTCTTCGTCAGAAAATTTCAATAGTTTCAAGAAACTTTACGACCAGGCTTTAGCGCCAGAAGCACCCAATGGCGATCTTAATCCTAGTAAGAATTTCTTTCGTTGAATCGTTAAATAAATGTTGATGCTTAGTTTGACCCAGTTTTTGCATAATATATTTCGGCAATCGCACATCTTTATATCAGTATTACTTCCCCAAAGGTCTTTGATTCACCCGTTTGGTTATTTGCAACGGAGAATACTTCCACTGAGTATATTTATCACCCGAGTTGGTAATGTCTTTCCGGAGATGTTTCTGATAACAGGCATTTTCGGCTTCCTACGATAGCGTAGTGCAAGATAAAGTGTGTTTTCATGCGAGATGCAAGCATTCAGGAGAGCTGCTTGTACGTGTCATTGCTTGGACCGCTAAACAGCGATTAAGGGATTTTTGGAAGATCCTTGACCATTTCAGGTCATTTCAAGGCGCTTGAACTAGCACTGACTTCAAAATTACCCGGTTAGACTTAAATAGAGGACACTGCTCAGTTGTGCTAAAGTTCTTCTTTGATCTGACAAACTGAACTGGACTATTCATGCGCCTTCTCGGCCCCATTATTCGCCTGTGGGTGAAGGTTCAGTTAGCCCGTTTGCGTTGACTGTCATAAAGGTGTTTTTTTGTGCCTCCGTGTTTAAATCCATATTATTTTGGATTCAGTCCCTCTCTGATCGTCTTAAGTACAAACCCAATAAGTATAAAGATGTATCTCTAAAAATAACTTACCTTCCGTTTGTCCATTATACCCTGTTGCGAATTTTGCAAAATAGACCCAATCGGAATCTGGATTGGGTAAACTAAATTTGTAGCTATAAACATCTTCGGAAACAAGGACTTAGATTAAGACGGGGACGTCAGTTGCCTTAGCTGCTGGCTATCTGGCTCATCTTTGTTTGATATGGCAGTGGGCCGCGAAGTAAGTAAACTATAGGGTCTGGCAAATAATTAATTACCTATCAGCAGCAACTTTTCCAACCGCATTAGGGCGTTGAGTTCTGGCAGTCAACTATTTATACAATGCCGCAGAGTCGAAAACCAACACTGGCATGTCAATTCCATCGTGACAATCATAATCGAATGGGCATATGCAGCCGAAAAAATCCGACCTTATGACACTGCAAAGTCGGTGAATTTTCTTGTGAACTTTCACTTCAAACAAAGATAATCTGGGCTTTTTTGGTCTAGGACGTTTGCCTAAACCCGGTAGGTGACGGGGCCTTTTGCTAGTGAAGGGTTTGCACTATCTAAGGGTCAAACATTCCGCGAAATGGCAAAGGATGAAATCGATCACTGGATCAAACGAGTGCGCAAGCTAAAATCGACCTAAGACGAGAAATCCATCAGGAAAATATTCTGCTTGAGTGTGAAACGAGATCCGCACCCCCAGAGGATAGCACCCGGAAGCATTCATTCGATGGTGTATGCATTATAATTTCTCAATTAGCCCCAACGAACGACCAAGTAATCGGTCATGAGCCTAGCCCCTCAACTAAGTCCGCTTTCCCAAGTTTCTCAGGTAGTTACGTAATGTGCTGCACAGACCTAAAAGCGAAATCATCCAGGATACCACGTCGGCGAAAGCAGGCCCTAATTGATAAGGAGCGTGTTTATAGTGTCATGCTCTTCGAGCAAGAAACAGACGCGCGAACTGGGGTTACTTTTATTGGAAGCTGCGGTGGACAGACTACAGTAAGGGACTACCGTGAACTTGCAAGTTCGTACAGGTAGAATCGGCAATGCAAAGTGCAGCCGTAAGTACTAATGAGAATTAAGTCGAGTGGAAATAGTGATGCTATTCAGCTATAAATGATGTCGCTTGAAGTATGTGAGTCTAAATGTGAATATACTGGTGATGCCAGTTTACTTGATCAATATCTCTTAGTCATCTAACTGCCATATATGACAAAATTAAGAGTCACGACGGTTTGCCTTTCCTTCCCGAGTAGAACTGTCTCGTGCTGCCAGTTGACTGCCAATCAAGCTACGTCTGCCAGCGCGTCCTATTAACTTTAAAGCGCTTTGGTTGAGTATATAAAGGAGCCAAACGTCGAATCAGCGTCCGACCGATCTCACCCTTTTCGTCCTTTTGCCTGCACCCGTGTCTGGTCTGAGTTAGGTGGACTGGCCATGAAATTGCGAGCAACGGACTAGGTAACATGAAAGTCTTCGGATACATGTGTCACCTGCGTGTTCTTCCCCCAGTCATATGGTCAGACTTATGCCGACATGACGACAATATTAAGTGACACTACACGGTTGTAGGATGAGCGTTGTGTGATTTCATGCGTATGTTTGAAGTGTACAGGCTTTTGAATGAACAGACCCATATGTTGTTCTACTGTTTGAAAGTGGGGATTGAGAGTAAGCGCAGGTACAAGAGAGACCGGAGTTCTTACTACTAATAAAACGTTGAACGACGGTGCTTAAGACTATTCATTTTTTTAATGGAAGGTGTATATCTGCGTAAGTAGGCCGCTGATTGGTATAAACAAGCTGCCTGCAAAGACAGCGTAATAAAGAACTCTGTTCGATTACAGACAGTGGACGGCCATTTGGCCGGTAGATCGCTATGTTGATGACATTTTATATTTTTTTCCGTGCAAGATCGACTCATTTATTGATATTTTCAGTGCCTCGTCATTCTATATTCATTGCCCTCGTAGGGACGTCACTCTTGTAAATGCACGTCATGACCTTTTCGGCTGAGAAATAGATCGCAATGCGTTATTTTGATACACCGTGGTTTCTGTGTTAGTGGTGTGGAAGCTAGCTTACCACGCGATCATATGCAAACCACTGCGTGCCAGATCGAATGAGTACATTTACTTGATCATTATGCGCCAAACTTGAATATCTCAACTGTGGTAAATTTACAAATCTTCTTACCTCAGATGTTGATGTTGTTGTTGCCGAAGCTTCGTGGACGTCAACATCTAAGATGGTCGCTACTCCTGGTGTGCGTTATTCTCTCGGATGATGTTTGTAATGTGTTGCGAGCCTCCGTGTTGTTATTATCCAATTCTTATAAAGTCCATGAGATATAGTTAAAACACATTAATAACTTAGGTTTATTGTAATGAGGTAGTAGTGATAGTTGACAACTAACACTCAAAAATGTGAGATACGCAGGGTAATAAGGGTCTCATAAAAACTCTTGACATTACTCTTTTATCAATACAAGCAAACATGCGAGTCCCAGAAAGTAATTAAAAGGTAGAAGCGATCGAGTTGTCTTCTACTTCTCAATTACTCTTTAATATTTTGATAGCTAACTTTGGCAGTATAGCTATCTCTAAAAGTCGATTCTTTTACGCTTTTCACTTTGCTCAAGTTGAAGAACAGTTATATGCTGTGCTTGGGCTTCGCGCTGCTCTTGAGACAGAAGTGAAGTCTTTGGAGGAACTGCGCTACGAACTAGAGGATTCGGCCTCGGACTTTCAGGTGCGAATTAGCTTGGAACACTCAATAGCTGCCCGTCGCGAGCTGGAAAATGAACTTCGTTCCACCAGGTCACGTGGTAAGCGCTTAATTTTAGATTTTTTACCTGTTTGATTAACTTGCTTGGTTCAATATTCCCGAAATTGATATAAATTTTTTCATCTTTGTATACTAGAGAATATTTTCCGAGCTGAGCACATTAGTTTTTTCTCTTGATGGAGCGCCTACTGGGTTAACAAGAAGGCAGTGCGATTTGAGCCAAAAATACTCAAAGCCACTAGTCACCAAAGTTTAAAGTCCAAAGGTTCCAAGGCAAATAACAAGAATTTTTCCGAATGACTTCTAGCTAACAGCTTCTGTTACCTACTGTCGTCTTTAACAGACAGGAATGGAGGACATCATTTTATTGACTTTATGGTTTTAGTGGCCTTGTTCTTATCGTTCATTTCCTACTTCATGTTTGCTCGTCACCTTACCAGTGCGATATCAGTAACTGTGACTCTAGTGTATGTTCGGTCGTCTAATCACAAAAGTTGACAACGGATCGAGACAAATCACCCCACTTCCCTCCAGCTCAAGTACGAAGGGTCCAAAACCAATTCAATGTCTTGTCCTGTATTCTCAGTCAACGTTTTTGTTGAACTACTCATCAACACCTCTTAGCGGTCAGCGACCCCAGACCAAGGTCATTAAAACTTGGCCCCTTGAGCGGACGACAGAAAGTGCGTTGGCCGGAAAAATAAGCACCCGGAGCCTATCCCGTGATGTCTGGGTAAATAGTTAGCTTTTTGAGCTGACCCAGTTACCACGATGCCGATGGTTGAATTTGAAAATTCTCTCATTTGTTTCGTGGACTGAATGTTTCAACCATGGCCATCCGCTACTGCCTTTTCCTTCGACTCGATCTGCAAAGAAAGTCCGAGTTTTTGTGCTAGGAACCATGGGTATGTTGGGCTGTCGCACTTGATAGTCTGAGCGCAGATGAGGGGCAAAGTTTCAACCGCATACAAATCAAAATTCTGTAAGTTTTCAAGTCTTATTGGTTTCGGCATCACTCATTGATATAGTAGCATGAAGTCCGTTGGTAAACCTTTTATTGGCTACAATATAGTCAATTTGGTTAGCCTGACGGTCGTCCTTTAAATACCAGATCGAAAGTCGTTTTCGCCAATCGTGCAAACATGTGTTATGACAACTAGCCGTTCTGGTCAGAAAAGCGCAGCATTTTCGCCTCATTGTTGCAACGAAAAGCAAACCCATAGCGCCCGAGTAGGTGGCTGCTGAAGAAGTCGCTGCACCAGTCCAGCAATGGCAGTCCTCAGTGGCAATCAGCAGATCACATTACAGGAGGCCTTCAATTAGTTCTTATAAATGCCTTTAGAAGATGTTATCGCGTCTGCTGATAGTTGATGCTGGTGCGTAGACGGGATCGACGGAGATGTTTGTGAACTACTCTTTTAGTCTCATGTAAACCGTTCGGTCATCCGACAGTTCGAACGCCGAGTTTGAAGATGTCCACCGTATACTCCACAGCAGGGTAATGCAGAGACGGTGACTTGCGTGTGAGTTAGTTTTAAGTTATATTAGACTTGTGCCGCCTCTACCGCACTGTGTCTTCACTCAACAATCTGTGTCGGATGTCAAGAAGAGCGGAGGTGGAATCGGGCGCAAGTGGCTGGCACGACTGAAGCCACCCCCCCCATGTTCGGCATTAGTTATCAGTGTGCAACCGGCATAACGCCTGTCGTACCCTGATCTGGTTCCCTTACTGATCCAGCGCATCTATCACGTTGTCCGTTTAGGGGGCACACACAAACAATTTCGTAGTTCGTTTGTTGCGAGAAAATGGTCGTCGCACTACGCCACCAAAACATTGGCGTGCACCGCTGCGATATAGGGTGAAGTGGGATCTTAGTTCCACTCAAGCCTGGATCGGGATTCCTAGTTCTACTGATGAAGGCAGTACGCTATGCTTCAGGAAGGTCTGCGCGTTCCGGTACCCAATGTAGCCAGCCCGATCGACATTCCGGTCTGCATAGTGTTCGCCCACATCACCGGAGCAGGGTGAGGATGCGCGCAGACGACGCAGTTTAGAACGTTATTCTTGCATTGGAAATCTTCATAAGGTCTCTTAGGAATTTTGAGTAAACGAACTTTGCCAACAACCATCCAGATTGTTTTTGGAGACCACATCTAGCGTTTTGACTCAAGAACCGGGCGAGAAAGTAGCGATGGTTAAAAAACTCACTTATTAACTGTTCACGGTCGCCATATTGCAGTTCTCTTCTCAGGCTTCGCAGCATTTTGTGAGGCAGTTGATGTTCAATTCAGTTTTATTAAAGGAAACATAGGCGGACGCCTTTGAGCTCCCTATTGTCAGCCCCTTGTGCCCTGGTAGCAATATCGCTGTCAGTCCGAAACTGACTATCCGTCAAACCAGGCAGCTTGCTTACCTTCGCGGAACGTCGTTCCGCTCTCCGTCAGTCGTGGGCGCGCCGACTAGCCTCCATCTAGGCTAATGGATGGATCATTCTTCCCGACTTTTGATTGGTTTTCTGCTTCAGTTAATGTTTAATAACTTCCGTCGTCTACTGTGACCTGTCTCTGTGAGTGCCTAAGTTGCCTACCTACGATGATGCCTGTCTTACTTGAGAAAACAATTACCCAGTCGATATGGCTTTTTAATTTAAACTCCGTTTACTATCGTCCCGGGACTGTTGTCGACGAATTATCTTCTTCCTCCGAGCCCACCCACAACGGCGTGATGATTGATGGTTGAAAAACCCTTGAGTGGAGGCCGAGTCGGTCTGTTTTCCAGACAGCCCGCCTTCTCACATGCGAATTGTCAAAGGCAAACCCGTGACCATTTTTGTATGTGCTTTCCAAACTGTCAGTAACAATCTCTTAATTTTATGGTCTGTTCCTACTCATACCATTTCACAGTTAGCCATTTTTAAAGATAAACACAATAATGCATCAGGAGCGTGAACTAATTAATGTGACGGATTATCTCTAAAATGCATTTGAGGGAGAGTCAACCCTACCAGTGATGCCATTTCCTTTAGGATGGTACAGGCTGCAATTTTTTTTCTTTTCCACATTCACTCATGCCTAGTTAAATCTCAGTTAGCAACTATCGGAAGAATGCTTACGGAAGGATAGATGAAAGAAACTTCTGAAAGTAGCCAAATGTATTAATATTTTTCATACCAGACTCAATGCTTTTGTCATTATGTGCAGTTAACGAACTGGAAGTACAAAATCAGATTCTCAACGCCGAGATGTTGGGCCTGAAGAGTAAGTACGATGCGGACCTGGCCGAGGCAAATACACGTGTACGGATGGCCGAGAAGGCGATTATCGCGGCAACTCGTCGTTCTGGTCCCCCGGCAGCCTCCGCTGCCGCCGTTGCCACTAAACAAAACAGTTCGGCCTCCGAGACTTCATCTGGCCAAACGACTGCGACAACAGAATCTACTCGATTATCGTCAAGACCGCCCGACCACTCCAATGTGTCTGCGCTCTCTTCAATGTCTCGGTACCGCTCGCTGTCGGATAAATTCAACGTGAGTACGAGGCTTTCATCTGTACCTTTGTAATCTCACATGCCTCTGGAATTTTATATTCCGGCACTGGTCCTTTTGTCCGTAATCCAGACTGCCTCCAGACCACATGAGTCCACAACTGGAAGGCAATTAGTGGCTCGTTTTAGTAAACCCCATGTTTGTTGCAATAGAGGATGATGCTGTCACATTGTAGCCCAATACGGTTTCTAAGCCTCATAAGCAGCTAACTGTGATTCTGTGGTGGCATTTCAAAAAAAAGAATAAAGAAGAAAGTTTTCTATTTTGAGCGTCAAGAAGGCGTTATCCAGAAAAACTTAGTACTGAAGTATGATAATGACAATTTGCACATTTGAGATTTAAGTAAGTGCAAGAATTAATAATAACAATAGTTAGCGACCCTTCAAAAAGAATTGTGACCTAAGAAATAAGCAGGGAAAAAATTCCTGCGTCGAAAATAGAGGCAGAGTCCAGCGAACCTTCGCTTTCAGAAAGACTGTAGGGCGAAAGTAGCTTATGTAAGCCCACTCATATACCCCTAGTCCCAGCATTTCGTCCTGCAAAAACGGTGGTTATAGAGTTTTGGGGGGTGGGGAAATAGAATAGGCAGAGAAGGAAATTTTTAGAAGTGTAAAATGAAAAAAATGTAGTCGAATTTGCTTCCCGCGGCCGCTGGAAGTAAAATGTTCCGCATGTAAATTGGAGGTGTGCGCGGCGCTTCGCCCCGCGGACTATACTAATGTAACTCTAAAACGGTAAGTTGGACCTCAGGTG